AAGGGGAGGCGGGGAGTTTTAAAGAGAACAGGGAAGGGAGGGGGAAGTGGGCCATGCTAGGTGTAGGTGGGGAATTTTTTATTGGCTCAGGGTCGGGTGATGGACAGCCAGAGGTCTCCTCCTTCTGGATGGAGGGGTTCTATATCTGGGGTTTGTCAGCACGTCATGGGACTGGAATCCAGGAAGAGCTGTTCGTTCCTTCCCCATATGGCACAGAGCTACTTGGTGCTGTCTCTGCTCTGCCTGCATTGTCCTTGCCCTTCTCTCTCCAGTGCCTCCAGCCTTACAGTATTTAAATGTTTAAAATATATAATAATATATTTTATAACCTATTGGTGAAATATTCATTTTCAACATCTGGCTATATTTGATTAAAATCATATTTATGACTATAACGAAATTCATAATACATTCCCACCCATAGAACTTTTTCTAACTCAAAATGCATTAATATTAGTAATTTAAAACAAATACCTAGGAAACTCAAAAGACAAAAATAATGAAGAAAATTGAATATAATGCAACCAAATTCTCCTAAGCTCCTGGGTCGATGGGGAGATTTACATCTCTAATTACAGAGATCTTTGAGAATGAGGTTTGAACCAAATGGATGTATTTGGCTTCCTCACTGAATATGTCCCCCCAGAATTCATATGTTGAGGGTCTAATCCCCAGTGTGGTAGTATATGGAGACAGACCTTTGGAAGGTAATTGGATTTGTATGAGGTCATGGGGGTGAGGCAGTAGTGGGTGGCTGACTATAAGCCAGGAAGAGGGCTCTCACCATAACCTAACCATGCAGGCACCCTGATCTCACACTCCTAGCCTCCAAAACAGAAATAAATATTTATTGTTTAAGCCACCCAGTCTGTAGTATTTTGTCACAGCAGCCCACGCTAAGGCATGCACCCTCCTAATTTTATGCTGAAATAAGCCAATCAAAAGAAAGTAGTCGAGAATATCGTATACTACTGTGGGAAAGCCAAAAGGCATTTTCACTGCACATTACAAATGTCAAAGAGCTGTAACCTCTAAATAATGCAGTTAAAAATGAAATTATCAGTAAGGAGGCTACCACCAGCCATATCAGGAACAGACATCATGGAAGACAAACACCTTCTTTGGATAGTTACTGCAGAGGAAATAGCCTGGTCAAAAGATAATTTTTTTAAGAAAGAAAAAGATGAAGAAAAATTGTGATTCTCATGCCAGTATAAAAATGAACATGTATTACAGATTTTATTTAACTCATTAATAAGAAAACTGGTGAGATGTCACAACCAGTTCAAGAAGTTAATATTAGAAAAGTACACAATTCATTTGCTTGTCTATAGACAAGAATTATTTTGCATTGCTAGCAGTTACCTATAACTTAAATAGTTGTAACATAACTCCCATAGACTCAGAATCATGTCTTTCAGACAGAAAAGTACTAAATAAATATGCCCTGCAAATCATTCATAGATGCAAAATTTAACAGCTTTGGTTGTAATGACTTCTGTGTAGTATGAATCCCCATCCATTTAAAAGATTATGATATTTATCCATTAAAGGTGAATGGCTGATATTCTATTACAGGCTGAAGAGAGGACCACAGCCTACTCCAACCAGGCACCTATAACTCCTTTGTTTGTGGGCTGAACATCCTTCTCCTGTTCACTTTGCATTCATCATTCTTTAGGAATTCTTTTCATGTGTCTTTTTCCTCCATGGAAAAATTGTTAATGAGTGCAATCAACAGCATTTCTCTCTAGTTAACTGGATGCCTAGGTATTTTAATATTTGTAACAAATACTTTTAAGTTGGAAGAGAGATATATGTATACATGGAAAAGGGCTAGATGGGTCAAGATATCCTTAGTTAGTTGTAGCTATTAATAATTATATATGGCTACTGGGATTCTGGGTGTATTTATTTTCATAGTTTTGCTTTATTTTCTTCTTTTCTACAGTGAAACTACAGTGATTTGAACTGAGAACTTTGAATCAATTAAAATTGATATTTTTATCGAAACATTTTAAAGGCTATCTAACAGTTTAGATGTTTCTTAGAAGTTAACATCTGTTTTGTCTGAATGTACTGTGTGGAAAGCTTTAGGCCAGACATTTAATTGATGTGCTATTCATAAACAAATTGCACAGTTTATAATTATAAGAGCTCATTGCAGCCTGCTTGTGCTCAGGGGACACAAGTTCCCCCTTGTTCAAACTCAAGGAAACAATGGGAGCATTGCCTGTGCAGTCTTGTTAACTTCTCGTAGTTACTGAGCTAATCATCACCATCACCCCCATCACCTCCTCCATCACCCTCATCATCATCACCACCAATGAAGTGTGTTTTGTGTGCTCGACTCCATGCTGGGTACTGTATACATATCGCAGCAGTCTTTGTAACGACCCTGTGTGCTGTGCACTAGCGCCGACTCCACTTCACAGCTGAGCACATTGAATTGGAGAGAAGGTAAGTACTTGCTCTCCTAGACCACACAGCCAGACAGTGCTGAAGCTAGGATTTGATACCACACAACAGATTCCAGAGCCCAAGGCCCCAACTCCCAGCCTCTCTGTTTTGCTACTGTGTGAAGCACATGGACAAAAAGGAGAGCTGGAAATAATAAGGGCAAATGTGAAGGTCACCCATTTAGAGTCAAACAAAAATGAACAGCAGTCTCCTTGAACTGCACCCTACAGTGCACACTGACATGCTGTAGGTCTTTCCTGGCATGATGACTGCCTGAGATTGTGCACCATACACTTGACCTACAGGTTTTCACTGGGTCAGACTTATACATCAGGCCAAATGGCACAGGGATTAAAGAATGCTGTGAGTCCTTGAACATAAACTTTATGCATGGTAGAGGCAGAAGTGTAATGCAAAGTCCAAACCTACTTTCAGTTGAGGATGAAGGTAGAACCCATGGTCAGGGAACACCCTGGGATTTTAGCGCACATCCTACCTTCACAACCCAGGTGCAATCCTCTGCCTTCTAGCTCCACTTGCCCTCTCCAGCTTGATGCCATTTTCAGTCATTTCAACAACCTGTTCAGCCATGACACCTCATCTTTCTGCCCTTCCCACCCTACCATTTACCAGCCCTGGGAAAAGTTGACCGTCCATCCCTGTTTATCTCCCACTCCTACCTCTGAGTAGCTTGGAATTATAAAAAGAATAATAAAGTCATGAGTTGGCTTGACTATAAATTCTCATAATCTACCGTCACTTAAACTTCCAGAAACATTCACCAGCTATTTTCACTCTGCTCTTCATTACTTCCCTTTCCTGACACTAGAACCCTTCTCCACCTCACTCTATCCTTCCATCTCTACTCCATCCCAGAAATATGTATCATCTCTCTCTTCACTTATGCTTTCAGATCTGGCAATGATTTCCTGCTACTTAGGCCAAAAAAGGATTGCCAGCTTTCTGGCTTTCCATATACGAGCTTTAATATCTTTCCTCCACATCTTCCTCAGTCAGCCAATTCCTTATCACATTTATTCAACAAAGCATGTGCACTTCTAGTACCTAGCCCTAATCTAGTATGTAAAATAGGCAAAAATACCTGTCTCTTGGGGCTTACATTCTAGGGATGAAACAGACAATAAAATGAACTTAAAAGTCAAATATACTGTAGGTTAGATCACACAAGGGAGAAAACTAAACTGGGGAAAGAAGATATGCAACGTCAGGGGAAAGGACAGTGGAGAGTGAAGCGGCAGAGAGAGTGACTAGGGAAACACTCTTGAAAGGGGATTTTTGAGTAATGGCATCGAAGACATGAAAGAACTTGCTGGGAAAACATTCAGGGTGTAACACTGCAATTACAATAGAAATTGACCCAAGAAAACAGTGCTTTGGAGAAACAGAGGATTAGTTCTCTCACATACAACATCATTTCAGAGATAAACATTCTGGGACTACTAGAGTCATCATAACCCAAGTTCCATTTGTGTTTCTGTTCGGATTTCATTAGCCTGTGGCTTACATCTTCAAGACAACCTCATGATTACAAGATGGATGCTCGAACTCCAGCCAATACCTGAATTCCAAGCAGGGGCCAACTGACTAAGCTCCTTTTAAAAGGCGTTTTCAGAAACTGCCTCCCAAAGACATGTTTTTATATGCCATTGGTCATCCCTATTTTATAAAAGGGATCAGGAAATGTTGAACTTTACCTAAATACACTGCCATCCCCCACTAATTAAGAGCTCATTAAGGGAGAAGGTAGAATTGGGATTGAGTGGGCAACAAGCTGCCATAGATAGTTAAAATTTTGATAGCTTTTAACCAGAAAATGAAGAAGCTGGATGAACTTAAAAGTGGAATTCTAAGTTTGGAGGTCACTTTAGCCACCAAATAAATGTTTATAGCAAACATACTTTTTAAAATAAATAAGTAAACTAATTTTTGAAACTATTTCAACAGGTATTCTATCACTGCAAACATTTTAAGAAAATATGGAAAGCTCTTTTATTTTGGTATGAGAATATAACTGAAAATATGACTCTCAAAGACAATTATGAGAAAAGAGTCACTCAAGAGAGGCATGAATCTACTCTTTGCTTATTATGGATAAGAAAAATATTTCAGTAATGGGAAACCATTCCACAAATGTGGACCAAATTGATATCCTCTTAAACATGAGTGTCCAAAAATCCTCAGGAAAAATTACTATGCTTGAACATCATTTTGCCACCTTCAAATTTCATTCACATATATGTGTGGCAATATCATACAGAGGTCAAGAGAGAAAATATCTACATGAGATATAAACTAAGTATTCATAAAATTAAAAAAAAGTAGAGGCAATATTTTAAAAAGAGAAAAAATATGTATCTTTGCTGGTATGTTAAGTAAAGAAAGGAGACAGCTATCTTTGCAATTTCAAGTTCTTGTCAAACAAGAAAACTCATAGTTTCTAGGTTCTTCGTTGCTGAAATCCTCTACCAAAGTGATAAAATCCAGGGAAGCCCTTGTTTCCATTTCCAGGGTGATTTATTTTATGAAACTATTCCAAATCCTGTAAGGTGATTTTCACCAAAACTATACAACCTTCAGAGGCAGGGAAAGTTTCATTTATGACTTCAGGAAGCAGTAACCCAGCGTCATTCTCTGTGGGCACGAAATGAACATTAATTAATGATGAATGGAGGATACTTTACCATCTGTTCAGCACTAATTCAAAATACACTGTTGTTATTTAATTTGATTATTTTTAGTCTTGTAGTTTCAGCTGGGTTAACACTAACGGCTGGAACTGTGAGATGCCCAGGCAAATCATAACTCCCATTTTGAATTCGTTATATGGAAGGGTGGCTAATTATTGAATGATAAGTGCATCCAAAGAGCAATGAAAGGAGGTCTTGTCTAACAATTGGGTTTTCTGAAGAAGATAAAGCATTCCCTCTTCAGTAAAATAATCCAAGTCATGTATAACAAGTGACAGCCTGGAAGACTGGGAATTAATGGAAGAAAGACGGGGAAAAGCACTTGTTTCAGAAAAAAGGAAACAAATGGTACTTACATATATGGTAAACAGTACAACGCTGTTTCGTTATGAACCCCTCAGCAGTTCCACGAATCTCTCAGAGCTGCCACGCTCTGCTGCCCTCTGGAGGGACGCACTGCGCGGGGCGATGGAGCCAGCAAACGCAATTTCAGTCCCGCAGTCTCACATTTACAGTACAATAGTCAATTCTTCATGACTGAGACGTTGAGCTGTTTTTAAGGGTTAAGTTAGTTAAATTAGTTAAGACAGAGGGTCTTAAGAGGTTAGGTTACATTTTTTCAAATTTTCTGATTAGAATACGAAATAAAGATATTTACTTAGGTATGCAAGGGGAGCTGTGGTTCAGTTTCAGCGTACTTGTTTTGAGTTCATGGATTGCATGCTAGAATGGTTGGTCAATGGCCCTGGATACTTGATTTGCCCCAGTGAAGGACTTTATTAAAGGCACAGTTTTCCCTAGACTGCCTTCAGCTACTTCAGCACAGCATAACAATCGCAGATACTTAATGACATCAGATTTAAAAGACAATCAAAATCATGCTCCTATGAGGCATACTTAGATTAGCAGAGTGGTCAGTTGCTGGCATTCAGATCCTAACTCCACCTCTTACCAGATAAGTAACCTTAACGTCTGTAAGTCTCAGTTCTTCCTCAAAAGAAAAATGACATTTAGAAAAAACACACATCACAAGGTTGTTTGGAGTATCGCTTTAAATTAGGTGATATAAATGCATATTACAGTGTTTTGTATAGTACCTGGCCCATCCCATGTTTCCTATAAATATCCATTATATAGAAATTGCCAACCTATGGGACCAGCCTAATAGTCACCATGGACCCAGGCTCCTTCTGAAGGGTCATTTGCACATGGATTCCATGAATTGAACCCAGGCTAAGATGGATTTAACCAGAGAAGGGAGCCTGGCACAAGGAGAGACCCACAGGTGGCTCAATGTGAATCCAGGCTCTAAATTAATGATGGGCAATAGAATCCAATGATGTCAGGAGAAGACTGAATGACACACATTTGGCAAAGGCAGTAAATATAGGGCCAACGCACAAATAAGCAGAAGCTGGAGGCAGAAGAGAGTGGCAGAACCGGCAGGAGAGGCCCTGACAGTGGGAATATGAGTCATCATAGTGAATATAGAGCAGGACAAAACAAATGCTTGTTGCTTAGGGGACCATAAAACCCCCTGGTCCCCAGAGCCAACTGCCTGTGCCATTCTCTCCAGCTGGGCCCATCCTGCCTGGGCACAGGCAAGGGCTGAGAGGGTATTTCTGGCAGAACTTGGCCAGATTGCTCAGAAACCAGGTCAACTTACACAGGACACCAGGACTGGGAGCATCCACTTCTGCTGAGTCCTCAGTCCCCAGGGTTTCCTGCAGGCAGCAATGCTGAAGAGCAGACACCACGTAGATTCAAAGTAGACACGCAGCTGCTGCTCGGTCCCCAACTTTGCCTGAGTCAGCAGGAAAAGCTACACCTTTCCAGTCCCCAGAAATTATCTGGAAAATGCAGACTCAAGTTACCATAGGATAACCATGTCTTTGTCCACGACTCCCTCTAATTCTCTGACCTGCCTCTTCAGAACCTGCACCTGATTAGCTCTTCCTGTGTCTGTGTGCCCCAACTGCAACAGCGAGCATCTCCTGCCCAGGACATTCTCAGTGATTCTCTTTTCCTGACGATTCTACTTCTGATCCTAATTAATAAAAATGGGGGTGGGTGTTGAGTGTTTTTCTTATACCAGACACTGGTCTTAGTGCTCTCCAGTAACTAAATCATTTTATTCCCCACAACTACTCAGTTCGTTGGAACTGTAATAATCTTCATTCTCTAAACAAAGAGACTGATGGACAGCAATTCTAAGTACTTCATGTGACACCAATTTGCCTCAAGTCTGCGGGTCTGGCTCTATTGTGTTACTTGCTTCTCTCTCCATCATTAGAATAGAGTACAAATACTCAGTTTAACATGTGTGTGTGTTGGTTTCTTGAAGTCTTTAAAAAAAAAATCCTGGCTTAAATTCTTTAATATATCTTCATATGTATGAGTCCTTAAACACTTTTCCTTTTGGAAGCCAGAGCCAATACAAAGAGATTATTTATTGATGCAGATTCATAAAGAAGCACACTTGTGCCTAATGCAGAAGACTTCGACAGAGGTAAGGGACAAGTACCAGTATGGCATTCCCACCAGGAACGAGAGGAGAGCCAGAGGTGACAGGTGGTACTGAGAGCAATGTCACATACAGCCTGGTAGGACGGCGAGGGTGTTGGTAAAGCCAAAGGGATGGCGACCATTTGCAGGATTTTGATCAGGGGAAGGGCATAACATGATTGTGCTTTAAAGGTTAACTCTGGATGCTGTTTGGAGGGAAGAAAAACAGTGGGAATATGAAATTTCCTTCACTCAGAAATTTCACTCCCACTACCACCAAATAATTCTGAAATGTGTCCTGAGGGACTACTCTATCTTGAGAATCCTGTTTTAGTTTTTTAGTGGGTTGCTGCTCTAAAATGTTATATATTAGTTCCATAACTTTCTTAAAATAATTATATCATCTTATTTGAGGCTTACCTAATGTAGCCACATAGTGCCCAATGTCTAACAAGCTATACATAATTTCTGATTTTACAGATGAAAATTGAAGCACGAAGATATTAAATGGGCATTAGATTACTCTCCCTAATTCCCACATCTAGAAAGGATTGAGGAAATTCATACTCCAGTCTAGGAAATCCCAAAGGCCATGTTCTTTCTTAAATATCAACATTTTAAAAACTGTGCTTTGTGGAGGCTGGGAGGTTTGAGGGGAGGAATAAGCTAAAGAAAAATGGAAAATGTTTCTGTTCTGTGTGGAGCAATTAGAAATTAGTTGAACAGTTGTCTGTCATTCTCCCAATATAGTTTCAATAAGTGGAATAAGCAGATTAATAAACCTCCAAATCCCTATTTCCTCCTGAAATCACTATTGATCCTTCAATATTTAACTTCAAATGACTCTTTAGTGAACTCCCCAGACAAAATCAATGGCCTTCTCATAATGGGCAGAACATGCATCTATTTTAGTCCTGACCCATAGTTATTACAATTATTTCCCCTTCTGGATGTTTCCCATACCAGTCTAAGAGCATCTTTGAGTGGATGTTGTGTCTCAATCAGATTTATATCCTCAGCACACAGAACAGTTCACCGGAGTCTGAAGGGTGCTCAGGAACTACTGAATGAATGAATGGAAGGGCAGCACATGAGTGAGCAAATGAGCAAATGGATGTTTTATGGCCTAATCACTGGACTATGGCTGCAGTAATCTAATGCCCAGGACAGAATTCTCCCAGAAAGAATTCTCTTCTATTTGGTTAACCTAAACAGCAGACAAGTTAAAATGTACATTCCAGTTTATTACATCCTGGAATATGTTTAACTTTAACAAATAAATAATAATGGCTCTTATTTATGGAGTCTATGTAGATGCCATGCCAAAACTCTGCTCTGCCCTTTCCAAACATCATCAGTTTTAATCCTGATAAAAGTAAAACAATTGAGTATTCCTCTCCATTTCCCCACATAGTAACAGATACTTAAACTATCCTGCAAAATTCATACCTTTAGCATTTTACACAGCCAGGATTTAAACACAGTCTGTCTGATTCTGAAGTCATGCTCTTCACCACTACTTTATAATACCCTTAAAAATGTTGCTAAATAAAGCAAGGTCTGTGGTAATTCAATGTGGAAGAAAAAACAGAACAAATTCAAAAGTATATCGTTTTGTTTTATTTGCTATGACTATTTGTTCAGTACTTCAGGAGATATATTCCTTTAATGGTTATTTTATTTGGGCATGTTTACAGTGCTTTCTGGGGACCCTCTTTCCTCACTGCAGCATCTCATTTTGGCACTGGTTCCAGTTTATCTAATGAAGCTGTTTCATCTAAGATTTCTTTGCATGTGATGTGCGGGTATGTTTTACACTGTGCCCAACCATTCTGGTAGTAGCATATGGTTGGTTTTGTTAATTGGGCTTTTTGTTATGCTGTGTCTGCAAAGCTTCTTTTAATTTATATTCAAATGTTTGTCATCCTCTGGCAGTCTGTTTTGTGATGTCTGCATTTGTTTTGTGACCCAGGACTATAGCATGTTTTTCAAACTCCATTCTGCCACCTTATATGAAGATGCCCAGCATGTGCTCATTTTGCACTACAATATAAGTCTGTTCTCTTTCCTTACCTGGCCAGCAGAGTTGGCCCTGGGAGAGGGTGGGGGGTTGGCAGGGGCATCATTGTTTCAGCCCATTTCAGCTGCATTATTAGGAATGATAGAGATGGGATAAAAAATTTGCCTTGTTTATCAATGACAATGCTAGATGACCCATGGACCATCAAACTTTCATAAAAACCTACCCTTTGTCAGGCAGTGTGCATGGGCTAGGATCAGATTTAGTGAAAGAGGACAAAGTGGAGAAGTCGGGAATGATATTCTTGGATCCTTGGAGCTAGGATCACAGACTCTTGAACCTAACTGCCTGGGTTCCAATCCCAGTTCCACTGCTTACCAGCTGTGTGACCTTGAACATGATACTTTACCTCGCTGGGCCTTAGTTTTGACTATACAATGTGGATGACAATAATATCTATTTCATAGGATTGATGGAAAGATTAATGAGCTAATACCTATAAAGTACCTTGAGTAATGCCTGGGGTACAGTAACATTCAGTAAATGTTAGCTATTACTGCTATAACTATGTGATTTCTAGTAAGCAGACATTTAGTTAGTACAAGAGGTGTTGCAAAGCACTAATAAAAAGCCCAAAGAGGTCTAACCAGTATTTTCTGAACTGTATTCTGTAGCAAATTAATACCTTTTAAGAAAATGGGTTGTGTGGTCAAATACGCACAGGAAATGTTGAGTTAACCAGTTGACTGTGCACATCATAGCGCTTGCCTTAGGCTGGCATAGATAATGACTCTCTGGAAGGAAAGAGAACATGCAGCTCCCTATTAAACACAGGATCTACATTTGGCATCCAGATGAAGGATTTATCTAGTCTATTCGTTAAATCTTAAGGGACTAGTTTCCATAGAAAAATCTTTGGGAAGTTCTGACCTAGATGAAAGTTGTGGACAATCACAACTAGCAATTAGAGGGAAGTTACAGTTAAGGATATTCACCTAGTTTCTAACTGTTTAAGATTGAATTTTTAGAGATTTAAGTAAAATTGCATTTATGCAACACCACATGCATAAACGCACACACAGAGACCCTATCCCACAAACTTTGATGTCGCCATTGCAGACAAGGTCAGGTGATGTCTTTGGTATCTCCTCCTTTCTGGAATGACATTTCTCAGAGGAGAAACCAAAAAGCCTCGAAATCCCCAAGACAGAAGAGTGAGAAAATGCCACTAGGATTCTGCAGACTGCAGGGACATCGGCGGTGCTCACGTGACATCATGAAGATAGAGAACCCTGTCTCCAACTCTGCCTCTGCTAAAGAATGTAAAAAAAATGCATTTGCTCGTTTGTCCTATAATTCATCTCATGCTTCTCTATACAGGAGTTGGGGGAAAAAGGCCTAAAGTAATATGATAACAGTAGCCAGAAAACAATAACATCTGGTGGACATCACTATACGGAAACATTTCCTCTCAGCTGAGGAAGTCTTACATGTGGCTTTTTAAAAAGTTTTTATGGAGATATTTGACAAGTGTTCATGTACATGTAATTCTTAAACCTTCTTTCGAGATGCTAGCGGGAAATGGTAAGCCAGCAGCTTCATCCTCTCCTCCCAGGTAATCACACAATTTCACTTCACAGCTCTGAGCAAGGACGTTTAGGAGCTGTGAGAGCACATGGATGAGGTGCTGAACTCAAACTGGCTGGGGAGGGGCTGGGGGAATCCTTCCAGTGGGAGTGAGAGCTGAGCCAGAGACTGAGGCATGGATAGGAGTCAAGGTGACCGAGGAAGAGGTGAAAAGCAGGTGTGACAGAAGAGAAAAGCTGGGGGCAGGAGAAGGGCAGGGCAGAGAGGCAGAAGTGAGTTGAACGTGGCCAGTGCAGAGGAGCAGAATGAGGCGGGATGAGAGGGAGGTAAGCCAGGGGCAGATAATAAATGATTTCACAGGACAGATTAAAGAGCTTTCCAGTTTTCCTGAGGATTATGGGGAGCCACTGAAGTGTCTCAACAGAGCAGGGACAGGTCAACTTGCCCTTTGGAAAGATAACTCCAACTGCTATGAAAAAAACCACTTTAGTTGGGAGCATGATTGGTGGCCAGAAGACCATTTAGGAGACTGTGTCTGTAAAGAAGGCAAGAAATAATGGTGGATGGAGAAAAGTGAGAGGTTCAGGAGGTAGAATTAGTGATTGGTTTGATGAAGGAGATGAAGTGGAAGGATGAGCTGTTCAAAG